GGGGGGGGGGGTTAAATATGTTAATTTAATTTTAAATAAAATTCTTTTACTGGAAAAAGACGCCTTTCGAACCCTCCGACTGAGGCAGTTGCTTTCAAAAGCTGAAGAAATTTCGGGTTTAGGGTACAGAGAAGAATCGACGCCACGGTTCAGACTGAAGCCCAGCAATCGTCTCCGTTATTGCTTCAGACAGGTCCCTTCCTCTTTGTCCTTGATCTTCAATCTCTGATTTTTCATTTTCCCACGATTCAAGTTTGAGACTTGTGCATAAAAGTTGGTGAATTTAATATGGGTTCATGGAATTTCTGCAATTCAGTGAAGTGATTTGGTATCTAACGCTTCCTCTATGTTTCTGAAACATTTATGTCGCTATTTCCCGAATTGAGTGTAAATCAGCTTAATGTATTATTCAGCAAAAAAAACAAATCAGGTGAATGTGTAGGTTTTCGGTGGTGGGCATTCGAGAACATTTTTGGGTTTCTGAACTGTGAAATGAGGTTTTTGTGAAGTAACCATTTTGATGCCATTTTCATGAAACAGATGTGTTAATTCCAAACTAAATCAGTAGAATCCATTCGAGCATTGTGTTTTACTAGTTTCTTGTCCGTTGTACTGTTCAGGAATTTCGATTTGCAAAGTCTTTGGAGTTTGCATTTAAGCTTCTAACAACTGTACCTACTCTGGTGTTTTTCTTTTTGCTTATGCTGAAATAGGCGCCTTAAATAACCGATGAGTTCTTCACCATCTTTGGAGATTTTAGGTGCATCTTTCTGAAACTTAATCTTTTTCATTTGATGAGATTACGTTGGACTTCTGTTCTGAACTAGGTTTTGTTTCTCTTGCAGTTAGAGAACCAGAGGGTTTCTCTGTGTGGAATGGCCCCCCATTCAGCAACGGTCGACCCGCTCCTAAGCTTGAACGAGTACCATGCTCTAGCACAAAGTTCAGCGATGATGGATCTAAACTTATGGCCATGAAATCAGATGGAGTCATCAGTGTCTTTAACTCCATCAGCTTGAAAGAGGTTCGGTCATTCACGATACCAAATGTCACAGCTGCCGATCTATCTCCATGCGGGACATATCTCCAGACCTTTCAGAAATCCTCTACTCCAGAGGAGAAGAACGTGGTTATTTGGAAAGTTGAGACGGGCGATCTTGTTCATAGTCATTTCCAGAAAGCAATGACCAAATCCTCCTGGTAAGCTTGATCCCTTACTGGAGTTATATCTCTCTTGGTAAATTTGGACTTGTTTTTTTTTCGACAGACTTTAAATATATCACATACCCGTTAATTATTTTACATTGATGATGCTTACTGATTGTAATCTAAGTATTCAAAGTTCTCCCGTTACCTATGTCCATCCATGTGTCTAATGTCTATATCCACTTTGGATCTATGCAGAAATGAGAGCAAATGCGATGCATGCTTATGCATACATATTTGCCTTTCAGTAGACATTACCATGTGTCAAACTACCACATTTGCTAATTATGTTAGTAGTTTTCCTTTTATCATTGATTTTTGGAGATATGGTATGCTGACTCCTGCCCTGTGTTTAAACTTTGCATCTCAAATTACTGGTCATCTCCTCCGCTATGGGTTGGACATGATTGAGTACTTGTTATTGTGTTTTTTTTTATAATACCGTATTTCTGTTGCTTTTGTTTAGGCCATCAATCAGATTCAGCTCTGATGAATCTACTGCTTGCCGAGTAGCTACAAATGAGATCCAATTCTTCGAACCCAAAGATTTCTCCAAAGGAATAGCATCCAGGCTCAGAGTTCCAGGGGTGGCTGCATTTGAGCTTTCTAAGACTCCCGGTTCCCATGTTGCTGTATTTGTTCCTGAATCAAAGGTTTGTTTGGTTGCTTGGACTATCTTACTCTGGTTTTGAGTTGTGAACTTTGACTGCCTCATTCCTTGATCAATCCACACTGCTTTTTGGCATTCCATGTCTGTGCAGTCGTGTTTAGCGTGCCCCTCTGTAGGATTTTGAACAATCAATTTCACTAGCAGATCTATAACTTGGTACTTCTTAGAAGACGAAATAAACTGAGGCATTGAATCTAGGCACAAAGCAACTCAAGACTGGCTATGAAATGAAGTTTAATAATATTGTGTATGTGGATCCATATGCTTTTATTTGGTAATGTTATTGTGAATCAGAATTCATTCAATGTCGTCGAGATTGTTTTTTTTTTATTTCATTTCAGTCTGATTGCCCAAGAATGTGCTTTAGTATCACTATGTTATGTGATATCAAATTAACGCTTAAACTTAAACATGTTTAGGGAAGCCCTGGCAGTGTCCAGATATATGGATGTGGGAAAGAACTCCAGAGTCAGCCATTAGCCCGGCGAAGCTTTTTCCGGTGTTCGTCTGTTCAGTTTAAGTGGAATCATGGGTCTACTGGACTCCTGGTACTTGTACAATCAGATGTTGACAAAACCAACCAAAGTTATTACGGAGAAACAAAATTAAACTACCTTACAGTTGATGGAACACATGAAGGCCTTGTTCCTTTACGTAAGTTCCTAAGCTTTATATGTTCTTGTGATTTCTTGATGTGGTGAAGTACTGATTGTCTGGTGTATTGACAGGTAAAGATGGGCCAGTTCATGATGTTCAGTGGTCCTTCTCTGGTTCAGAGTTTGCAGTTGCTTATGGCTGTATCCTTTCCGTCAGTTATAGTGAATTTGGTTATGAAAAATCATGTCTTGATGATATCGGGTTCAAATGGCAACCAATTGAGCAATGAGAGTTTAGAAAGTTTTGAATTGTTTGTGGAGGTTAGTTTAGAGAATCTAGGGAATTGAGTTTATAGAGTTAAGAAAGAGTTAAGTTGATAGAGTAAAGTGATTTAAAGAGTTGAAAATCTGAATTCATGGAGTTTTCTGTAATTTATGAAGATGCTTATCTAGTGTTTATTCATGCATGCAGAGCTTTGTCTTCATTTTTTATAACTTATTCTGTTCTTTATTTGATTTGTTTCAATGACAATTAGTATGTGAGGATATTACAAGAACATTGTATCTGTTATTGTCTCTCCGATCAGATTCTTTCGCTGTCGTTTCTTCCATATACGTTTCTTTTCCTTGATTGATATTGCTTCAGTTATGCCAGCAAGTGTGACAGTGTTCGACAAGAAATGCAGACCATTGGTGGAACTTGGACAAGGCCCTTATAATACTCTTCGATGGAACCCCAAAGGAAAATGTATGCTTTCTGTTCATCGTTCCTGATTTTTTTTTTTTGTTGACTTTCTCGTCTTTATTTATCTGGCATAGAGTATCATACCGACTGACTGCATCTGTAACTTGGGTCCATGTTCCACAGTTTTGTGCGTGGCTGGATTCGGAAACTTGCCCGGTGATATGGTAATTGACAACCCTTTTTGTTCATCTTTTCCTTGTGTGAATTATTCTTTCTACTCGATCTTTCTCAATTAGTTGAACAATTTGAGATTGGCAGAGTATTACTGATATGTTCTTCCTCTTTAAGATGGCTACTTTGTTTTTACCTCTCCCTAATCCCTATACTTGCATCTTCAAATCACCGTTCTTCCATTGTTATGAGCTGATTTAAAGAAGTTAATACATTTCAGACATAAACTTGAGATTAAGGCGATGTTGATGTTGATGTAATAAATTTCAGGCATTCTGGGATGTCGTAAACAAGAAGCAGCTTGGGTCGACGAAAGCTGAGTGGTCTGTAACAAGCGAATGGTCTGCTGATGGACGATACTTCATGACAGCCTCAACAGCTCCGAGACGTCAAGTTGACAACGGGTATGCAATCTCTCTCTCTCTCTCTCTCTCTCTCTCTCTCTCTCTCTCTCT